TTGTGTTATACAGCATGAAATTATCAATGAGTTATTACTCATATCTTTATAATTTTTTTGCATGGAGCTGTAATTTTTTCTTACATCTTTCTGTGTACATGCCCCAGTTTTTGGTCTAAATGGTATACACTGAAAACAGTTGATTTATATGAAATAGAACAGTGAAACCTCTTGCAGTTGCTTTAAGTGAAGCTGGAGGGGCCCAAGGTGGGGAGATAGTGGGGGTAATCTAACCCAATGTACAATGTAAGCCTGTTCGGAATATCATAATGAATCCTCCCTATACAGCGAATACATCCTAATAAAAATGAACCACCACTACCATACCTCCCAAAAAAGGTTAATTTCAGCTGGCAGAGTTGACTCAAGTGGTAGAGTGCCTGCCTAGCAAGAGTGGATCCTGAGTTCAAACCCCAGTTATATCCAAAGGGAAAAAAAAGTTGATGATTTTATAACAAATATAGAAATAGCCACAGTTGTGTTTAAAACATTTTTTTCTTTTTTGTACTGGGGATCAAACCCAGAGCTTTCTGCATGCTAATAAGCAAACACTCAACCACTGAGCTATATCCTCAGCATTTTAAAACATTTTTATTAAGATTATGGATTATAAAACTAGATTGTTTAAGACCTTTAAACAAGGCCCGTTTTATTTGTGATTGAGCTAACCAAATCCTGTTACAATTTTCCATTGGAGTCCTCCTTCACTTCCTACTTGTCCTCCTTTGTTCACAAATCAACAAAACCACAGCTGCAGCTCCTCATCAGAGAAGAGGATGCGGGTTAAATATAGCCACAACTTGCTGCTGTGGTGAAAACTGACACTACCACTTGCATACTCTGAGCAGCAAAATGCTGATCCTGAATGCAACAATTGCTGTTTTGACAGTAAACAAGGTCTCTAGACATGACCTTAGCTGCTTGAGTTCTGTGTATAAGTGATAACCAGAAGAGCCTGCTTTCAAGTGGGTACTTTTTGGGAAGGGAGCAGGTCTTGCTTTGTAGTCTATGATGGTCTCTTCATAGTCAGCCTACCTCTGCCTCCCAAGCACCAGGATTACAGGCCTACCACCATGCTCAGCTTATTAGGTGCTTTTGGGGAGGGGGAGGGGTTCGGTACTGAAGTTTGAACCAGGGCCTGCAGCTTGCTAAGCAGGGACTGCACCGCTTGAGCCACACCCCACCCAGTATGTTCTTTTTTAAAGCAAGAAAATGGTAACTAAGATTCAGATGGTTACTTGATGGGGAAGGCAGAAGACTGATATGAAGGAGGAGAGAGGTAAATATGTCAGTGTTTTGTGGTTTCACTGGTGTTTTACTCAAATAAATATATTTAAATAAAAGGAAGTCACGCATAGCCAATGGGAGAGTATGTCATGACTGAGACTATTTTAATTAATTACTTATGACACTGTGGGTATAGGGAGGTAGATAATACTGAACTTTTTACTTTAACTGGCACACTTGTATACCTGTACCATCCAGATTTAAGCTTTTTTGGGAGGGAGAGGGTGCAGTACTCCAGGGTTGAACTCAGGGTCTTGCTTGCTAGGCAGGCACTCTGCTTCTGAGCCATTCTGTCAGCCCTTTATTCATTGGTTATTTTTGAGACAGCGTTTTGCTTTATGCATGGGCCAGCCTGATTCATGATCCTCCTATTTGTGCTTTCCCTTGTAGCTGAGATGACTGGTATGTGTCACTGTGCCTGCCATTGGTTGAGATTGGGGAGGCGGGGTCGGGTCAAGAACTTTTTGCCTGGCTGGAGTCAAACTGCCATCTTCCTGATCTCTGACTCCTGGGTAGCTAGAAATACAGGTTTGAGCCACCATGCCCAGCCTTAAACATTTATGATGAATAATACCATAGGCTTTAAGGTGTTATAAATAATGCCCATGTAGCCTTTGGATTGTCGTTTGCTACCCTGGGTATACGAGAAGAAAAGTTAGTTCCAGACCCAGTGAAGAAGGAATAAAACATTTGAAAAAGCTGTGTTTTTAAAATATCAAGTGTGTTTTTATAGTTGTAACTTTTATAGTTGTAACCTTTTTATAAAAATAAATACATTGCCAGTAGCTCATGCCTGTAATCCTGGCTACTTAGAAGGCAGAGATCAGGAAGATTGCAATTTGAATGAGAACCTATCTCAAAAAAAACTCTTTACCAAAAAGGGCCAGTGTGGGGGGGGGTTACTGTGGAGTGGCTCAAGTGTAGGCCTTGAGTTCAAGCTTCAGTACCAGTAAATAAATAAAGTTCCTATCATTTGAGTAAAAAGTTTTTTCTTTGAATCAACTTGATATTAACATTTTACTGTATATAAACTGGAAAAAAAATTCAAGAAAGGGTACCATTAAATAATTAGCATATGAAATGTTTTCAAAAATAAGTTCCCTCCAAAATGCATATTGAAAAAGTATTAGTGAATTATAGTTACTGTTTTTTTTAATAATAAGATTCCCATTTTGTGGAGCACTGTGCTAGGCACTTTGCCTAGTAGCTCACTAATTCTTCCTAACAACCTATGAAATGTGAATTATTACTTTATTTTTAAAGACATGGCTCAGAGAGTTTGAGCATTTTCATAGTTTATATGGACACAAACACTGAGACTGGCATTTGAATCCATTTCTGTCTGAAACTTAAATAGTGTCACTTGTGTTTAATTTTTTTTTTAAGTCTTGGCAAGGATTTATTTTAGTAAAACAGGATAAAGTATAGACAAAGTGGGGGTGGAGAGAAAACATTTCCTCTCTCCCCATGCAGGAAATGGGAGCAAAGACTCCTGTTTAATGGTTTCTGAGACAGATGCAATTGATTACTTCATATATTCTTGCTTCTTGAACACATAATAATATACTGACAGTTTTTTGGTTTTTTGTTTTTTGGGTTTTTTTTTTTCAGTATTGGAGTTTGAACTCAGTTCTTCATGCTTGCTAGGCAGGCACTCTATCACTTGAGCCACTCTACCAACCCTGTTTTGTGTTGGATATTTTCCAGATGGATCTTGAACTGTTTGCCTGGGCTGGCTTCAAATCACGATCCTCCTGATCTCAGCCTCCTGAGTAGCTAGGATTAGAGGCATAAACCAACAGTGCCCAGCGTGTTTTTGTAGTTGAATGTCAATTTTCTGATTTTGATGCACAGAGGTTGTTGATGAAGTTCAGTATTTCCTATTTAGGATTTTGTGATATATTTTATCCTAAGAGTTTTTAGAAAGTTTTACCTTTCTAAGTCCTTGATCCATTTTGAATTAGTTTTTGTATACTCTGTAAGGATCCAGCTTCATTCTTTTACATTTGGATATCCATTTTTCTCAGCATCATTTGTTGAAGAGACTGTTTTTTCCATAATGAATGGTTTGGCACTCTTGTTTGAAGATCAGTTGACCAAATATGTGAACTTGCTATTCCATTGGTATAGTGTCTGTCTTTATGCCACACTGTTTGATTAGCTTTATAATAAGTTTTTAAATTAGTAAGTGTAAGTACTCCAACTTTTTCAGTAGTGTTTTGACTATTAGTGAGCTTGTGACATATCTATGAATTTTATTTAGGATGGATTTTTCTTCTTTTTTTTTTGGTGGTGGTGGTGGTTACTAGGGTTTGAATAAGGGCTTTAAACTTGCTAGGCTTTGCTTTGCTTTTTCTTTTTCTTTTTTTTAATAGTACTGGGGCTTGAACTCAGGGCCTACACCCTGAGCCACTCCAGCGCCCCCCCCACCTTTTTTGTGAAGGGTTTTTTTGAGATAGGGTCTCTTGAACTGTTGCCTGGGCTGGCTTTGAACCACTATCCTCCTGATCTTTGCCTCCTGAGTAGCTAGGATTACAAGTGCCTGGCTTGCTAGGCTTTTCTGTATCAATTGAGATCATCATGTCTCCCCCCCATATCCCCATTCTTTTAGACTGATACATAACATTGATTTTCATATGTTAAATCATCCTTGTATTCTGAGTTAAAATCCTTTTAATATGCTGCTAAGTTTGATTTGCCTAGTATTGTTGAGGGTTTTTGCATCTTTCTAATATATCTGTTTCCATATCTGTCTGTTGGTCTGTCTGTCTATCTATCCATCTATCTATCTATATATATATCTTGAGCATAGTACTCAGGATTGAACTCAGGAAAATGTTTGGTGGGAATTTTTGTGATGGGGAGGATAAAGTATTTTTGGGCCCTGTCAACACTGCTTCAAGGAGCTAGAAGGATGTCTGGAGGACTACAAATTTCCATCAAGCACAGTCTGAAATTACCACTAATTAGCCAACTCACAGAAACCCCCACTGTCTGTGGGTCTCTTAGCTTTGTTCTTGTACTTATTTTTTCTAATGTATTTACTGGTTCACCTGGAATCTCATGTGCTATACCTTCAACTCTGTTTTGGAAGATTCAGTTGTTGAGATCAGTTTTGGAGATTCAGTTGTTGGTCACCCTCAGAAAAGATACTTTTGACAATTCATATTCAGTCTTTAAAATACTTGGCATGACATACTGGAATCTAAATTATCCCTGAGAAGTAGGGGTCTCAAGTTTAATAATAAAAAAGCTTGAGGGAGAAAAATTTTGCATAAGCAAAGAATTTCTGGGTTTTGTTTTACCCCTTTAGTGAGAGTGCATATTGTACAGATTGGCTCCTCTTTTGCTGTCCTTTTGTTTACTTAAGATAAGGATATTAATTAGTATTTACAGAGTCTTCTTTTCCATAGTTAGGTTCTTTTGTTTGAAGTTATTCAACAAAGGCCAAAAATAATTTCTTACAGGCCAAAGGAGGAGGCTTTATAAATAACTGATAGATTTACTATAATAACAACTAGTTTATTTGAAACTGAATTTATCCCTAAAAACCATAATTGTAACTCTTAAAAATGATTTCTAATGAAAAAAAATCATTAAACTATCTGGACTACAGGATTTATATTATCTAATAAAATGTGGGGAGCCATTTTGTGCAGTAGTGACTGACAAGTAAAGGAGAATTCAGTTTCTCTTGATTATACAAAAAAAAAAAAAACAGGCTGGGCACTATGTAGTTGATTAAGTTCACCCTCTGGTTTGTTCCATTTAGTAGTAATGTTGTCTTCTTTGACACAGACCAGTTTATGTCTGACTTGGAACACCAGCCATCAGGTTCAGCAGAGAAATGGCCTAACCACAGTGAGCTCTCATGTCCAGCTCCTTACTGGAGAATCTAGAGGGTGAGTGTTGATTGAAATGTGTCATTGTTTTCATGCCCTAGTCTGGTATTTGCATGCAGTGGCTGGATTTGCATGTGCTACAGAGGAGGGGGTATATGCACAGGCACCTTCTTAGTAGGCCCACTCATTATTTTTGGAGCGACACCTTGACTATAAGATTCTGCTTTTTAAATCTAATCAACTTGTACTTATAACTTTAGACCAGGTTTAAGTGAAAGACAAGTGTTTAATTAGATTTATTAAACCAAAACATTGAGAAGTCCTATATATATAAATTCTGTGGCTTGGGTGCTAAATAAATTTGGTTGCTGATCAGGGGTGTCAGCCTTCTCATTTCTGGTCAAGTACTCTTCAAGTTTTGATGTAAGGCAGTATGGAATAGAAACAAAACAGGAAATTCTGTCATTTCAGAGGCAATCCTGGACTGCACTGTAGACTTAAATTTGCACTCTTGGTAGTTCATCTGCAGCTCCACTTGGAAGGAGGCCATAGTATCAGAGCCAAGTGTTTGTGAGAGAGGGGTCTAAGCTTCAGGCCTCTGGACTTCAGTAGCTGAGCAGGAGGAACACAGTCTTCCCTTACTGTCAGTTAGCTCCTTTCTGCAAATCCAGTTATTTCTAGTCACTTACTTTTTTCCCTTCTAATTGATTTGCTCACTTATTTAAACTTCTTTTAAAAGGAAAGGTTAGTCAGATATTGTGGGATAAGCCTTCATGTTACCTACTCACTCAGGAGGCTGAGGCAGGAAGATCAGAAGTTCAAGGCAAGCCTGGGCTACAAAGCAAGACTCTGTCTCAAAAAAAAAAAAAGGAAAGTTTATATGATCTGCTTTTCATCTTAACTTAACCATGGTTACTCTGACCTCTTGTGATGCCAAAATAAAAATTTTTTAAAGGACTGTCGGTCTAGCTCAGTGGTGGAGTGCTTTCCTAGCATTCTCAAGGTTCTGTGTTCAATCCCTTGTACCACATGCACACAAAAAGTTATGTGATAGAAATTGTAAAACCTACAGCTTGCAATTCCTCAAATTCCACTTGATTTCATTTTAAAGTGAATTTAGATTAGGAAAGGGCCTTAGAAAGCATGTCTAATACCCAAATCTAGAATATTGAAGCCTCCTAATTACCTATCAGACAAGACATCAATTTCTGGCTTTCTCATTTCTCTCAGAAGCTAGGCATATACTGACCTTTTATCATTCTTGTCTAATCATAATAAAAATAAAAGTGATGACAAAATTTCTGCATGAGGGTATATAAATCTCTCAGGAGAATTATAACCAAAAGGATTTAAAAGAATATGTTCATATTATAGGTAAGAAAATCAGTTGCAGAAAGATTAGTAAGTAAATTGCCCTAATCACATCATAGCCAAACCAGGACTAAAGCTTATTTCTTCTAGTGTTTAGCAGAGTATTTCTCTCATGTGTGAAGCAACAGTTGGTCATTAGTAATCTAGGTAAGAAAGAAATGCTTCTGTGTAGTGAATAGGAGGTGAGAACATAGAAAACAGCAGGTAAACAACGCCTTTAGGATTTAAGATAAAGCAATGAGGGCTAGAGGGTGGCTCAAGTGGTAGAGAGCCTGTAAGTGCCTAGCAAGCAAAATGCCCTGAGATCAGATTGCCAAAAAAAGAGATGTTAAAGCTATAAAAGATAGTACAGAGGGAAACGTGGGGACTAGTGTTTTTATTTGTTTGCTTGCTTGTTGTTTTTGGTTTGGTTTGGTTTTTGAGATACGCTTTTCCACATTAAGGACTCATGGGAAGGATCCAGAAGGGAAGATGGATAGATTGAGACTGATTAAAGATAAGGAGAGTGAAGACAATTGATGGAATAGGGTCTTGAAAAGGATCCAGAACGTAGGTGGTGGGATGAGTCATCTGGATTTATGACTCTGGAGCTCAGTTTTGGCCCCTTAGAGATGCTGGATTTGAGCATCATCATTAAATAAGATTATTTAGAGATAAAGGAATTCTGATAATTCCAAAATGCTTCTGAGGGACTAGGGATGTAGTTCAGTGGTAGAGAACTTGTGTACCATGCATGAGACCCGGAGTTCAGTCTCCAGCACATTGTTTGTCTGTGTGTGTCAGGGAGGAAGCTACTGAGTCCCACACCTCAATCCAAATTGAAAAAAAAGTGTTTATTTAGCTGGGTACCGTGGCTCACACCTGTAATCCTAGCTACTTAGGAGGCTGAGATTAGGAGGATCGAGATTGAAGGTCAGCCTGGGCAAATAGTTTGAGAGACCCCATCTCCAAAATAACCAAAGCAAAAATGGACTGGAGGTGTTGTTCAAGTGGTAGAGCATCTATTTTGCAAGCATGCAGCCCTGAGTTAAAACCCTAGTTTCACTCAAAAAATTTTTTAATTGCACCATTATACATTTTAATTTTTATTTGCAGTTCAGAAGTTACAGATGCTATCATTCTTCACTTAGTGATTTCTGGTAATTATTTTTTGGTGGTATTGGTTTGAACTCAGGGCTTTGCACTTGCTAGGCAGGCATTTTGCAGCTTGAGCCACACCTCCAACCAAAAAATACCTATTTTTAAAGGATTTTTTCACATTTTAGTTTTTGCTGATACTTAAATATTCTCTCAGATCTGTGTGCTGTTTACTCATTTGGAGATTTTATAGAATGTTTCATTAGAAACTTTTTTTTTTTTTTTGGCAGCACTGGGGTTTGAACTCAGGTCCTCATGCTTACTGGGCAGGTGCTTTTACCACTTGAGCACTCTGTCAGCCCTGTTACAGACTTTTTTTAGGAGAAAGATTTGGGGAAAAAAGGAAGAAAGATTGTATAGCATGTATCAGAGATTCTAAAGGAAAGAGTTTTTTGTTTGTTTGGTTTGAGACAAGGTCTTTATAAAGAACTCACTATGTAACCCAGGCTTTCCTCAAACTCATAGTCCTCCTCCTCTGCCTCCTGAGTTCAAAAAGGGGTCTTAATAACAGTATAATATCCCGCTAATCAGTTGTGAAAAAGAAAGTATAATCCTTTACTAGTATTAGACCTAATCTTAAAAAATGGAGGTTACCTGCAAATCATCATGCATATATTTTTCAGTATATCCTACAATTGGTTTAAAGTTTCTAGTGTTAGGGTAAAATTTAAAATACGTTAGTTAGGACTGAAGGTATGGCTAAGGGAGAGGCACCCACTTGGATGTCTAGTTTTAAGAAGAGGTCTCTACTGTGAGAATATAACCAACTGTAGGGTGCTGGGATGTGATTTAGTGGTGGAACATGAAAGTTAAAACCACATGACTGCAGTCCCAGTCAGGAGGATTGCTTGAGCCCAGGAATTCAAAGGTAGCCTAGGCAACATGGCAGGACCATGTCTCAAGATAATAATAATAATAAAAAACCAGTAAAATAAAATAAGTTAATTTAAAACCTAGTATGAGAAAGCCCAAATTAACTATCATGCTTAAAATACATACACATATTTGGAGCTGGGCATGGTGGTACACCACTGTTATCCCCTCATTCAGGAGGTAGAGGCAGGAGAATCCTGAGTTGGAGGCCAGCCTGGGCTAAAGAGTGAGTTCCAGCCTATACAGAGCTACATAGTGCGCCACTGTGCCCAGCTGTTGGTTGAGGTGTGGATGGGGTCTCATGAACTTTTTGTCCAGGTTGGCCTTGGTTCTCTCAGTCTTAGCCTTCCAAGTAACTAGAATTGCAGCACCCAGTTAGTCATATTTTTTGGGTTTTAAGTTTTTGCCCAGGCCAGCCTAGACCACTATCCTATTGTCATCCCAGCTATCTGCTGGGACAGAAATATGCCACCACACAGGCTGTTCATAGAGATGGAGTATCAATAATTTTTTACCTGAACTGGCTTCAAATTATGATCCTCCCAATCTCTGCATCCCTAGTAGCTGTGATTATAAGAGTAAGTCACTGACCTAGAGCATTCAGGATGGCATCTGTGATGTTGGAGCAGCCAGAGGCACAGAGGGACTGTAACTTATGGCACCCTCTGCATATAGTAATGAGACCTTCATCTGTGATTTGCTAAAAAACAAGAGCAAAAAAACCCCACGGATATTAGTAACTCAGAAGAAAAAGGAAAAAAAAATAACTCTGTGAAAATAGTACCAAAGAGAAATCTAGACAGGCTTAATATTAATCAGGTAACAGATCAAAGGAAAAATGAACAGATTTTGTTTCTTCTTTCCAGTTCCTCGTAATTTAGTTTGTAAGAGAATCTGTGCTTACTTTTAGTAAGGGAAGAAGCTATAATGGGATTCTTTTAACCTAATGAGATAGGGAACAGCATAGGTCGGGTCATGATGTAGGTTCAATTAAATGATTTTAAAATCTAGAAAAAAGATAAGAACAGCAATATTTTAAGAGCAGACATATTTACAAGTTAAAACTGAAACTGTTGTGTGAAAAAAATAAACTGTAGATGACAGTTGTATCTCACCATAGCATCCATGTTTGTTTTTATATTTTGTAATATAAAGAACATCCTAATTTATGAAAATAAAATGCTGTGTTTAACTCAAAAAAAAAAAAGAATAAGTCACTGTGGCCCCCATGTTTTTTGTTTCTTCAAGTTAAATTCAGAAAATGACTGAACCTATATGTAGCGTTTTTTTGTTTGTTTTTGTTTTTTTACGGTACTGGTGCTTGAACTCGGGACCTTCACCTTGAGCCACTCCACCAGCCCTATATTTATGTGAAGGGTTTTTCGAGATAGGGTCTCACAGAGCTATTTGCACGGGCTGGCTTCAAACCATGATCCTCCTGATCTCGGCCTTCTGAGTACAAGCATGAGCCAGCGGAGCCCAGCTTATAGCCTTCATTTTATTAAAAAAAATCACCATTAAATTGTTGATCCAGAGTATGAATTATATGGTTGTTTTTTGGTTGGTTGGTTTTGGCAGTATTGGGGCTTGAACTCAGGACCTTTGGCTTGAGCCACTCTACCAGCCCAATTTTTTGTGATAGGGTTTTTCTAGATAGGGTCTCGAGAACTATTTGCCCAGGCTGGCCTCAAACTGCTATCCTCATGATTTCTGCCTCCTTAAGTAGCTAGGATTACAGGCATGAGCCACCAGCGCCCGATTTTTAATTGTACTTTTAATCTTGGGGTTTAGTAAAAGGAAGAAAGGATGAACTTGACCAAATTCTGGTGAATGGTCCTTGTAGAGTCAAGAAAAAATAACATAAATGGAGTCTAGTAGTATCCAAAATTCTTTATAAAGATACTAGGTAAAAAGGCCCTTTTGGGTTCCCAGCAACACACACACACCCCCCCCCCACACACACACACTTTGGCTTTTGTGTATGTGGCAGTGTGTCAAGAAGAAGTGCCCTGGGTTGCCCTGCCCCTCTCTGACTAGTTGAGAGATTTCATACTGTACAATGCTTGTCAGCTCTAACTTTGAATCCTTAACCATGGGAAATAGCCCTACATGCATTGTTACTCAAATACTTCATTCTTATGTGTAGAAATAGCATTGCAGTACACTGCTGATTTGAACATTTCTTGGATAAAACAGCTTTTGTTTTGCTTTTGTAACAACAGACACTACTGATGGCTCTCACTCTACGTTTGTTGTGGTAGCACACATAAATCCAGGTGTTGGGGTAATGGGAGTTAAGGATGGTGGCTGCCAAAAGTGGGCCAGATGCTCTGACCTACATAATCTGTGAACACTGGTGTTGAAGGCTGTTTGCTCTTTTTTAGTCTTTATAGTTCACTTTATTCTTTAAAGGGAGGAAAATGATACAATTGTACATTAGTGAAATAAGTAAATTTATGTTTTTATTGGTGGAAAAATGTAAAACCACCTCATACTTAGTAGACTACAGTTTCAATAAACCAATAAACTCATGCATATATATATATATATATATATAATATTCAAAATGGAGTGAAAATGAAATGGTAAGTATTAGTGTTTTTTACAAAATAACTTAGGGGCATGGCTCAAGTGGTAGAGGCTTGCCTAACAGACTAGAGGTCCTGAGTTCAATTCCCAGTAAGAAGAAGAAGAAATAACTCAGATAGTATGTTTATCAAGATTGCTATTGATTTACATATGCATTACATCATAGATTTTCTTCCCATTGCTTTTTGTTGTTGTTGTTGTTGTTGTATGAGACAAGTTGTCACTTTGTAGCCCAAGCTGGCCTTGAACTCCCTGTGTAGCTCAGGCTGGTCTCTGACTATCAGTCCTCCTGTCTCAGACTCACAAGTGCTGGAATGCCAATGACATTTTTGATGTGGTTTAATTGAGACCTAGTTTTGGCCAGTCCTAGCAGGATGCTATCTTAGGAATCTAGAGATGGGAGTTTGAACCCAAATTCCCCAGGCTGATGAAGAAGGAAAGCAAAGTCTTGCATAATTAACACTGAACTTAAGTTGTTGCTAAAAGACTATGAAAGCACTTTGTTGCAGTTCTGATACCCTGTCCTAAAATTTTTGTTGTCATTATTATAATTCCCAAATATATCAAAGATTCATGTAAGGGGGAACAGAAATAATATAGCATTGATTGTACTTGTATTATAAATATACCACCCAGAAAATGAAGTTAAATTTTCAGAAAATGATGTTTCATTTTTATGTAAGTATACTTGATAAGTGGATGGGTAGTGCTGAATATGGGCAGGCAATACTTGAACCTTGCCTCCAGCCCAGCGTTGACACCCAGGAAAGTTGGGCACAGTGTCACATGCCTATATTCCCTGCTTTTGGGAGGCTGAAGTAGGGTGATTGAGAGTTTAAGGTCAGCCTGGGCTACATAGTGAGACCCTGACACAGAGAAAATCATATATCCTGTGGTTTGCAGTGATTAAATCTGTCATTTGTAAACTCGAATAATGAAATTAGAATTGGAAAAGATATGCTTCACGGCAGCATCTTAGAAGGGATAAATGATAGCAAAAGATGACTTGAATGTGAGCTAGGTGTTTGCTTATATTTCTTTTTTTTTTTTTTTTTAATACTGGGGTTTGAACTAAGGGCCTACACCTTGAGCCACTCCACCCACCACCTTTTTTTTTGGGAAGAGTTGTTTTCAAGATAGGGTCTTATGAACTGTTTGCCTTATCTGCCTTCAAACTGTGATCCTCTTGATCACCCCGGTGTCATAAGCCACCATTGCCCAGCAAACTTTTTGCCACTGCTGTAAGACTTGCTTAAAACAGACATTGTCAAAATCAGATTCTCTACATTAGTATTTTTTTTGGGGGAGCGGTGGGGAGTTTTTGGAATTGGAGTTTGAACTCAGGGCCTTGCTAAACAGGTACTATACCCCTTAAGCCATGCTTTAGTCTTTTTTAAAAATTTTTTTTTTTTATGCTTTAGTCTTAATAGCATTCTCTGGTCCCCCTCCTACCTACTTTTACTATACTAGTTCTAAATAAACTTCTGTACTAGTTCTAAGTAGCTCCCAAGTGATTATATTAAGTTAGAATCCATTTATTTATTCATTCATCAGAAATTGATGTTTCCTCAGTAGTAAGGTCCTTGCCTTTTAGGCGTACACAGCATATTTGGGAGCCAGATGACAGTGATGCCTGCTGATACTCTAATGTGATGAGGAATGTAAAAACAAAAGGACTGGGGATGTAGCTTAAATTGTATAGTAGTTGTCTACCATGCAGAAGGCCCTGGACTCAATGCTCCAGTACCACCAAAAAAAAAAAAACCTGGGGTGTGACTCAAGTGTACAGCAGCGTAGCATGATCAAGGGCTAATTCAAACCCCAGTTCTGACAAAAAACAAAACCAAAAAGAATTGTTAATATAAAACCTCAGACTTCTACAACTAAAAGAGATCTCAGTAGTCTACATCATCATCATATAGACAAGAAAATAGTTATCCTAAAGTATGATTATGAAGATTATGTGGATATAAAGTTTTCATAACTCATGAATATGTCTAGGAATAAAATTAGTATAGAATCTTTTTTTTTTTTTTGGTGGGACTGGGGTTCCAACTTGGCTTTGTGTATCCAATTCATTTTGCTCTGATTGTTTTTGGAGTTAGGGTCTCACAAACTGTCTGGACTGGCTTTGAACAGCAGTCCTCCTGATCTCAGCTTCCCAAGTAGCTTGGATTACAGGTGTGAGCCACTGGTGCCTAGCTTAGTGTAGAATCTTCAGTTGAAAAACCAAGAAAGGGCTGATGGAGTGGCTCAATCAGTAAGAGTATCTGCCTAGCAAGCGTGAGGCCCTTAGTTCAAACTGCAAAAAAAGTAAAAACAAAGGCTGAGGCAGGAGGATTTTGAGATCCAGCGTGGGCTACATAGTGAGATCCTGACTTAAAAATTCAATAAGAGCCAGGGACAGTGGCTCAAGCCCATAATCCCACCTGTTAGGCAAAGATTAGAATTGTGATTGAAGGTAGCCCAGGCAAAAAGTTTGTGAGGAACCCCCCCCCACTCTCAACCAATGGCTGGGCTCCATGTCATGTTAGCTATGCAGGGAAAGCACAGAAAGGAGGATTGCAGTGCAAAGCAGGCCTGGCATAAAGCAAGACCCTATCTCAAAAATAACACAGCAGGTGGAGTGACTTAAGTGGTCAGAGCATCTGCCTAGCAAGTATGAGTCCCTGAGTTCAAACTCCAGTGCCAACAAAGAAATCTAAAACACACACACACAACCTAAAACATCAAAAATAACCAGTACAAAGTGGACTGGAGGCATGGCTCAAATAGTAGAATTACCTGCCTAGCAAGCACGAGGCTGAGTTCAACACCCAGTACTGCCTCCCCACCCCCCAAAAAAAAATCAAACAAGAAGAGGGAAAGGAGAAAAAAAAAAATAAAGAAATGGTGTAAAAACTAAAGGTTCTTATTTGGAGGATTTGGTATTTTCTTTCACTTTATTTTGGGTCTTTAAGATGGAAATTCTTTGCATTTGGCTTTACAAAGCACTGTGATCTCTGAGGTGTTTGGCACATCAAAGAAAACAACAGAAAGCAAGAGTCTACAATCAGAAAGGACTTACAAACTATACTAACGTATAACGCAACATATATGTGCGTGTACTAATGTATCATGCAGGGACATGATAGAGTATTTTTGTATTAGAATAGGATAACAAAATAACCCCCAAATCTCTGTGGTTTGCTTTGGCCAAAGCATTTATTTTCATTTACTTTATATGCTAGATGGCACTGGGAATCAGTGAATTCCAAAAGAATTCAAATTAGGGAAAAGTTAAACACTTAAAAGCTGAGCACTTTTATAAGTACCCTATCATTTTTGCTGTAGAGCATGAGCCTTTGGAGTTAGGATTAGAATGTTCCCTGTTCTCGAGAGCCATTCTTTAATCATACTGAACTGAGAAGAAAGGAATCTGGAGCCACTTGGAGAATGATGTCTTTAACACCACTCAGCTCTGGAGCAGGTTTCATGGTCTACCTTGTCTTTACTAAAAGCCACAGGAAGAGAAATGGCTGAGGGAGAGTTCAGTATAATGCATCATACGGCGTCACTCATCCTTATCTTAACTAATCACTCTTCCTTTTCTTCTTTTTTAGTGAACGAAATAATCGGGAGAGACATGTCTCAGATTTCTGTTTCCCAAGCCCCAGACATAAGCAGAGAGGCTCCCCTTCCAGGTTCTGAGTGCCCGGATATAGGAAGATCTGATGGTCTCTAATTGTGCTCACTTGCAGCCTTGTGCCCACCACCAACTTCTCAACATGTTTCTGTCTTGGACTTTGGGTTTGCAACTCTTCAGCCTTCAGGACCCATGCCAGGAGTTGGACTCACCATTGGGGGGAAAGCAGCATTCCTCCACCTCAGGCCTTGGGTAGATTTTGTAAAAGAACAGAAGCAGCACAGACTGAGCTGTGGAGAAAATGAGCTTTGCATTTTTATATTTAAATAGGATACTTTTGTATGATGGGTGCTTTGAGAGTGAATGCAGCAGGCTCTTCATTTTCGAGGTGCTGCTTTTGCAGGTGACCTGGTTGCATAGCTAAGATTAGTGATTTATACTGCTTTCTGGTCATTTGAAAGGCCCTTTAGTTTTGATATTTTTAAAATAGGAAATTTTGATAAAACCTTCCAGAGGCAAACAAAAAGACAAAAAAAAAAAAATTAAGCCCACACTTACGCCTCAGAAACCCAAGCATGTGTCCTGAAGCCTTTCATAGATTCATAGGAAATAAAGCCAAATGTAGCTTATACTCTTTATAAAAGTAAACTGTTACTAGATAGAGACCATTCCATCACTGAATGTTGGAATATAAAGACATTCCAGAGTATAGCCTTTTTGTAACTTTCTAGCTAATCTTCCTGCAGTCTCTCCATAGTAGCTCCATGTTAAAAAACTGCTTTCCTCATCACCCCCTATACCAGCACCTTGGGTGATGGTACTTATAAGGTGACTGAAAGGTGAGATTTTTGTTTAGTAGCTTTCATTTTTTGTCATCCTTAAAACTAGTAATCTGTGGAGTACGCTTCCCGCTCATGTCCTCTGGCCCCAAGCGGGAGTTTCTGCCTTTGATTGTTCTGTATGTAACCTTTGAGTCCACACAGGTCCTGATAGTGCAGGCAGCTTTGCAGTTCTAACTCTTCTCTGGAGGCCAGGCCAGCTATATCAGGAGCTAAGCATAAATGAGCTGTGCATGAAGATGAGCAGAGAAAATGCAGGATTCCAGATGGGAAGGCTTATCCCCCATTCTGTTTACAGCCTGAGATGATTCTGGTCTACCCAGTCCTGTTTGTATGACCTAGAAATCAGCCTTTTCTCCTGAAGGCACACCAAAGATGCCCTGGTGCTGCTGCTGGTGAGACTAGTGTCTAAGGCAGGGGCCAACAGAAACTTCAGCCTGCTGTCTACCAAAGGAGGTGTCCAAGTTGGACACCTACCCTGCCCCCTCTCCCTCCAGTGGGATTTGTTACCTATTTCTGGGCCTGTTTCAGAGCCCCTGAATTTTGCAGTATGTTTTCAAATGAAACCATGTTTGTTTATTCAGGAAGCAAAATTTTTGAGTGCCTACATGTGAAACTGTGCTGGGCTGGCTGCAGACTTAACGCTGTTATTCCATGGGACTGCAGATCCTCTATGCCAGGACTCTTGTCTACTAAGGTCTCAGTCAGGGCTGAGCAAGAGGCTGGCCTGTTGTCCACCACCTCTAGTTAGCAGGGTAGAAGTTATAAACCCAGGATGAAGAAGTGTGGGCTTTTTTTTGTGTTGTTTTACCATAATGTTTTAGATTTCTCCCTAAAACTAGAGAACAGTTTATCCTTCAGTAATGATCACCCTGGCCACTCCTAGAGCTTAGTGTTTCCAAATTTTCTTTGAAAGTAAGTTATTTGTCAGTGTGGATAGTGAGATTTGCTTCAGGGCCTGTGATTGGAAGCCCACAGCTTCCTTTGGGGAAAAGAGGTTGGTCTCTCAAGTGAAGTTCCAGAGACCTGTCCAGACTCGTTTCTACCCTCTTGCCCCTAGGGTAGCTGTCTCACAATGGGGTCTTTGCAAGACCCTTTGGGGGCTGCTTTGCTGCCCTCAAGATTAAAAGCCTCTAGGATCCAGAGTTGCTATGCACCAAATTTTGATGCCTTTTAAATACCTTGATGCCTGTAGTGCTAGAAATGCTTTCCTACTTAAAACAAAAGTTAAATTTTAAAAGAGCTTTGTATACTATATAAGCAGTTTTATATCAGCTTTGTAAAAGCTTTCATGTAAGAGTATTTTTGGGCTTTGTAGATAATGACTTACATTTTTGTGCAACATAGTGTTGTTAAAGCACACATCCATTGGACTATGCAAATTGATTTCTAGTAGCAGCACTGAGCAACTGGGCATGTGCTACGCACCCTTCCCTCTTCAACCTGTGCTCAATCTTGGGTTGAGGAATAGAATGAGCAGCCTTCTGCTTAATAGAGAAATGTGGCTGAAAACAGCTTTAAAAAGGAAGCGATGTCTTTGAGTTCACATGTGGTGCTGCTGCCTGGGGTACAACTCCCCCCATCCTACCCCAGGGCCAGCCACTATCACCAGTTCTCTGCTAGGCCTGGCTTTGTGAAGCCATTTGTGATATATAGAACAGATAGTCAACTTTTAAGACTCAGATGGGCTCAAGTTGAAACCTTGTGTTTTATAAAACGGATGTTTAGTAAAGAAACTGGTTCTCAGTTATGTTTACAGCACCTGGGATTGTTTTCTTGTACATTTTGTATTTTAAAACCTTTTATAGGAGTGCAGTACTCCTTACACAAAGGGAAGAAGAGCCAGCAGTTCAGGCTCCTCGTCAGTTTTAGTGCTGAAATAATAAACGGCAACAGATTGACAGTCTCCTTGAAAACTGTCTTTTGAGTTTTTCTCCACCTGGGGCTGGTGTGGGGCCCTTTACTCTGGGGCACTGCGGCTTTTAAAGTCCACTTGGACAGGAACTTTTGTTCACTCTGGAGAAGACAGTTCCAGATTCCTTCTGAGGCTTCAGTTCTTCACCCTTTAATGGGTGCAAAGGACATTCCATGGTGTTTGCTGGGTTCTATACAGCTGGCCTTCTCAAGGTGTTTGGAAGAAAATCTCCTTTAAAATTCAAGCCTGAGTTTTTTTGTGAGGGAGCCTCATGCCCTCTAGTGTTCTCTGGAAATAGTGCAGCACAGTCCAGAAGAGCTTATGGTTTTGCCATCTAATGTTCCTTGTGCCTGACTAGCATCTTTAGGGGGGGCCACCCCTGGCACAGCATGGTTTCTGAGGTCCAAGTATCCTGAGGGCAGGGACTCACTTTGCCTCCCTGCTCCCCCATAGGAGGAGCAGGAGGAATAGATCTCTACTCAAGAAGCTCAGAGGGACCCTTGATTCTCCCAGGAGTCATACATGGAGGGTACCAAGACTTACATTTTAAAAAGCAAGCACATAGGCATAGGCCTAGCCAGGATTACCAGAGACTCTCTAGGTGCCATTCAAGAGGTCCAGTCACACCTTCGGGTGCAGGGCACCCCATTTCACCCCCAGCCATGAATGCAAGATACCCATCATCTTTGCAATGAACAGGCAGAGAAATAAGTGGGGGATGGACCTTGCTTGGTCTCCTCTGGGTGCCATCTGAGAGCTTTGACAAGCCAAGAAGCAGCCACCAGATTGAGGGCACTCTGGACACAAGACAAGCATGTTAGCTAACTCTTCCTGCCTTCCTCCTACAAACAAACCCATTCCTTGGGGGCTTGTAACACTGTGCGAGATGGATCACCAACAGGCATCAGAGTAGTGTAGTCATCAGGGGCCAACTGTAGAAGAGACACAGATTTAGGGCAAGGACTTCCAAGCTCATCTGGCCTTGAAACCCTCCAGCTGCACAAACTCACCTGGTAGGCCTGGAAGACACTGAGCAGATCCTTCATACCGGCAGTATATGGGACACCTTGCATGCGGACCAGAGCTCCTGGCTGGGACAACACTGAGGTGGGAGTAGAGGCCAAGGCAGCAGGGGGCGTGGCAAGGTAGCCTACAGTGGTAGGGGAGACTGGGGGGCTAGAGTAGGAAGAGAGGGGTTTATTAGTTTGTCCCACCTGTGGCCTAGACCAAGACCTAACCCCTCCTCCCTGCCTCCACCTTTAAAACCTCTCCCTCTATAGTGGCATCACCAATCAGCCCACACCTGTTACTCCCTTGTAATCTAAGAATAAAGTTCAGTGTACAACAGATCTTACATTATCTGGCCCAGAAACTGATTGGGACTCTCCCCTAAACAAGGATATCAGGTCTGTGGGGTTATTCTAGCAGCAGGGTACCTGGGGTAGTAAGCTGTGTAGTTCATGTAGAGTTGAGTGGCTGGCCCTGGATAGTAGGCAACAGAAGTGGGGGCAGCAGGCACCCTGGCAGCTGGGAGCAATGCTGAAGAGGGATACAGAGCTGCTGTCTCAGTGGGAATGAGGGCTGGGGTGGCCTGGAAGGTGGCGTAGGTGGGCGGCGAGAGGCCTAGAGACAAGTAGAGAGTGCATCTGCAGGGAGTCTAGGACTACCCTGGGCAGGACAGCCAGGATGGAGCCCCCACTACAGACAGTGGCAGCTTAGAATGGCCTGGTCCCATGTGCTTCCTTCTCCGGCCTCTGGAGCACTCACAGGGCAGTTTGCAGGGTGGAGGGGACATGCCACTGCGGCCCAGAGTGCCCCCCATCAGCACGCGGCTCATCTCCTCTGTGGAGCAGGGAACCACTTCCACATAGCGTTCCTTCATCACCTTCTTGTGGCAATGCTGAGCAGCAGCTAGGGCACGTTCTGCTGATGTCATCTGGATGAAGGCATCACCGGATGGTCGGCCCTGTGCACATCATCTTGTAAACAGTCTGCTGTGTGCAAGAGTGCTTTATCCCTAACACACCCCTTTCTACCTTTGTGTATTCCTTTTCTAGCAGCAGCCTCACCTGTTGGTTGAGTACCATGTGCACACCATGGGGGCGGATGTCAGCTGCTGCATCCCCCAGAAAGCTCAGGATATCTTCGATAGTGGCTGTGTAGGGCAGGCCTCGAAGGCGTACACAGTCCCTCCCTGTCCCAGCTGCCAGTGGAAAGGGGATGGGCAGCAGTGGAGCAGTAAGCGTAGGAAGGAGTGGGCTGGATGCATAGCGGTTTAGGACCTAGTAAGAAAGGCAGAAAGGTTACAGGCTTTTCACACCAACCTGGTCACAGGAAACTAAGGATGCACCCTTAGGAAACAAAACATCATAGGGTGGGGATCCCTGAGCACTCACCTGCTGCACCTCAGCTGCAGTGCTCCGGAACAGTTCAATGTATCTCTTACCCAGCATGCCCTTATGCCTACGCAGTGCAGCCTGTGCCAGCTCCTCACAGGCAAAGAGAGCAAAGGCATCCCCAGTTGGCCTCCCATCAGGGTGGCGTACAAAGAGCAGTCCGTCGGCACCTCCAGTCACTGGACACTCTGGCCCCAGGAAGCCTAGCACATCTGTTGGCCCAGCTGAGAAGGGCAGTCCCCGTAGCCTCAAGATCACTTGGTCTTCCCGTGACAGGAAACGAGCTACCTCTAGTGATGTGCCTAGGGGTAAGGGGGAGTCACTTACTGACTTAAATCCTGCACTTCCAAACATCCACCCACCTGGGAGCAGAGACACAAGGGGTGGTGGGAATGGGGCACAGGTCAAGAAGCAAGGGAAGTAGACCCTACTGGGAACACACTTACCCCCAGCTATCTTGACAAATTCCTCCCCTGTGGCTTTATATACCTGAGGTGTAGAGGGAACAGCCCATGGGTCTCAAGCCTGGTTCAGCTTTGCCCTGCTCCACTCCTAGACCAAAGCCCCACCTCAATATAGCGGATGCCCATGTGGTGCTTGTGTCTCTGCAGCGCTAGGTCCCGCTGCTCGCTGTCCACAAAGCGGATGAGGGCCTCACCATTTCTGCGGCCCTGGGCGTTCAGGCACAGTGCTACACCACCCCTGTAGAGCCAGCACTAGCTGTTAGGGCCTTCTGGGTAGGCCTGCCCCATTGGCCCTCCCATCCTGCCACACCCACCTGGCAATGTTGAGCCCTTTGAAGAAGCGAGCCACATCCTGGTCTGATGACTGCCAGGGCAACCCACGGGCCCGTACCACAGTCTCACTGTCCACCACATCAGCCTTGCTGCTGTGGGGGCAGGGCACAGGGTCAGAGCTATCCAACTGTTGTCACCCCCACCTCTGCTCCCACACTCACCAAGGCCCCGTCTCATATTTCTGCTTTACCACCTCGGGCTTCGAAAATAATTGACCTGAGAGGAGATGGCATGGGGGTCAGCAGGGTCTGGTGGAGGGGGGTCTCCCCACCAAGCTCTGCAAAAAGAGGACAGGTGAGGGGAATGAGGTGATAAAGGGACTTCCACCTTGTGTTCTCTTAGAGAAGGTCACAAGTAGGCAAGAGGACTTTGAGGAAGTAATAGGCATTCACCCAACTCAGAATCTTACCATTTGGCCCTTCAAGCAGGTGGAGGATGACAGCTACCATTGTCTTCACTTCCCAGACCCCAAAGTCATCCTCTGTGGCATCTGTCTCTAATCCCAAATCTATGGGCAAGAAGTGACAATAAAGAAATCCCAGCAAAAGAAGCCCTGGGGCACCCAGCATGAGCACTGTGTTCAAGCTGGGCTGTGATTCCCTCCATAGACACATGCAGAATCCCAGCAACCACACTTGTTTTAGCCCAGTTCATGCATGCACTTACAGATCCCAAGTCCAAACACATGTAGACATATGCCTACATTCTAAATGCATTCCAACATAGGCAGAGACATGGGTACCCTCAAGGACTCAGCTTATGTTCATATAACCTATCTAGCAGCATGCACATGCTCAGACACACAGCCTGTAGCACCCCTCCACCTTAACTCTGCTGGGTCATAGATACCCTGTGCCATAGTGGCCACTGTGAGGTTCCTGGCAGAGCAGGTGCTTGGGTGCTGCATATGGAACTCTCTGCGGAGGTCGTAGAAGGAGAAGAAGGTGTCGGGGAGCACCAGGTTCTGGGGGCACATGGGAGTGGGGATAAATGGAGGAACTGGGTTGTCCTGCCCACCCTCACAACAATGGGGATCTTGGGAACCTGATTACCCATTGTACTCTCAGTGCCATACCTTCCTGGAGGCCTCGGGATGCAAGACTTGTCGCAACAGCTGCTGCCCATCAGTGCAAAGCACATAGGGGCCCCCACCCAGCAGAGCCACATCTGCGCTCACCAGCTGTGAGAACTGGGGACAGGAAGTGAGGAGACTCAGACTCACAGCTAGGCAGGCAGGAACTGGGGATATGGGGGGGGGGCGGTGAGGACTCAGGCTGCAAAGCTGGTTCAGCCAGACTTTCAGCCTTACCCTGCTTGGGAGGGAGGAGGTCACACCTACTGGGCCTGGCCTTGTATCCCAGCCCCTCAAGCCCCCACCTCTGTTCCAGTCCACTGTCTCCTCTCCTCTAAGCCAAGTGAGGGCAGTCAACACACAACTCAAGCCCCCACCACACACACTCCAGGAGTTTGGAGTGGGGCCAGAGCAAACACCTGGTGGAGTGAGAGAAGCAGGTGGGAAGGGGCGGAGCAAAGCAGGTTAAACCTGTCCCAGACCAGGCACCACCCTCAGACAGGTTGGGGAGGCCCGGGCCTGCCAGAGGACCAGAAGGCTCATGGTCAATGGCAGCCCCGCCTCCAGGTCTGGCCAACCCAGGGGCAGCAAAACTCCAAGGACAGAGCTCCAAACCAGGGACAGCATGAGCTTTGACCCACACCCTATCGACCTGCTGGCACAGAGCTGTTTGCTCATAGAGGAGGTGGCACTCCAGAGGCTGTCCAACCCCATCCCCCAGGCTCCAGCCCTGCAGGAGAGCCGCACTGATCACGGACTCACAAACCCTCACCCCCTCCTTGCCCCAGCCAATTCTGTGACACTTTTCAACCTAAGGAGGGCAGAGCAAGGGACCCACCCACCTCTTCTTCAGCACCCTCCCCAGGTGCAGGATAGGCAAGGCCAGGGGTCTTTCGGGAACACACTCAGATTCAGCATCTTTGTGTTTTTAAACGTTAAGAACCACCAGATTTGGAAGAGGAAAGAATTTGGGCATGTAAAGCACTTACACTCATTATACTCAAGAGTCAGTTACAGAGTGGATACAGCAGCCAAAACAAGGAAGACAGCAACCAGAACCGCCTCCCACTTTGGCCAAGGTCGGGACCACCCCAGGCCTTTGCAGTCAGCAGGCAGGTGGCCCCCCAGGCAGGGCACGGACAGCGCCCACGCCTGGCCAGCCGGTTGGAACAGGCCTAGACGAGCAGCTTACACCTGGCGGCGTCTGCCCCAGAGGCAGACACCGCCCGACGCCCCCGCCCCAGCGGCTCCTAGGAGGGCAGGCCAGCCGAAGTCGCGGGCGGCAGAGGCCAGTGACCTGTGGCCAAACCTGAGCCCCTCGACCCTTTACCGCGGCAGGTTCCCAGAGGGGTCTCAGCCTCGCTTTCGCACTGGCTGGTGACTCAGGGACCGATCCCATAGCCTCCATCCATCCCTACCCCCTCAGCAGGAATGGATGCCTGTGAAGGCTGTAAAGTAAGGTGAGGACCGGGAATGGCCGGCATACACAGACATCCGCACACGAGGAGTCGAAGTTTCAAACAAAACCCTGTCCTACCGCCCCGGCCAATTGGTCGCAGCGCTCCAGGCCTCGCCTCTTGTCTCGCCCAGAAAAGTCCTCGAGGCCCGGCGCTGCAACCACACACACCGGCCCAGGCGCTCACCTGCTGCAGCACCTTGTCCAGCGACTCGGCCCGCGCTAGGCTGTCGGGGCTCAGGCCGCTCGCCTCGCGGCACTGTGGACTCAGTGCAGCCGCCTCGGCGCGAACCAGCGACTTGTGCAGCGTCCCCACCTGCGAGCGGCGGCAGAAACCGATCAGCCACCGCTCCCGTGGGACCCGAAGCTTCCTGAGGACCCCCGCCACCTCTTCTCCACCCTACCTGGCGGCTCCGCGGCTCCACCACTTGCCAAACCAAGAGGATTAAGTCGGTCTCGTCCGATCCCAGGTCTTGCCCCAGCGCACCGGCTGTGGCCCCAAACAGGACGACCAGCGATCCAGGCCCAGCGTAGGGGTCTGTAGCGGAGTCTACTGCGGGGTCTGGGCCGGGGGGTGGGGGCGGCGGCGGCGGCGGAGTCATGGCCGCAGAGGAAGGGGGCGCTCGGCCACACACACGCGGACCGACGAAGCGCACGCACGCACCGACCGACGGCAGACGCGGATGAGCTTGGGCGGGCCCCGGTGTGTTAGGGGCGGCACCTGCGGCTGGGCTGGCGCAGTGGGCGCAGCTGAGACCCGCCCGCAGCGTCCCGCTGGGCGGGGCGGTTGCCCGCCCCCGCCCTCTCGGAAGAGTTACCTGCGGCCCCGCAGGTCACGTGACCTGGGAACCTTGGGGAAAGGCCAGAATCAGCCAAGGACGCGAGAACTCCACTTCGGCCTGGCGCTCACAGGATCCGGGCTACCACTTCTAGGTTTGGTTCTGCTCGAGTCCTGGGACGAACTCATTCCTCCTTCCCTCTCTCCAACAGAGACCATGAAGGCTCCGCAACAGATCGTGCAAAACCAATGGCCTCCAATCCGTGAGGGTCGCACGGGACTTTTGGAAGTCACCAGAAGGCAATCTATAAGCTGTGAGGGTCACGACGTCCGACCTGGAGTTGGTGGAAGTCACCAAGATTCAAAGAGGATAGTGAGAGTTACTAGGTGTCACCTGGAGGCTTGTGGTTGAGATCGCCAGAGAGATCAGTTGAAGAAGGGGAGGACGGCAAAATTTAAAGGTTTTAGAACTGTGGGCGGTCACTAGAGATCACATAAAGGACTTGTCCACACAGGTGCAAGGGCCATCCTTAGCCGGTTTGGTCCGCGAAGTGCCTCCAGTGCAAAGCGTGGTCGGGCTTTTACTCTGGGGAAAGAGGAACCCCCTTTCCTCTAACCCCCGCAGAGCTGCATTCTAGACGAGCTGAGCGGGATGATCCCGGCCTGGAGACTCAGCCCTATACTACGTGGGGGTGCCTGCCTATTTTGCTGACAACGGGCTTGTTGCCTGGAGATTGCGAGGCTGGCGTTGAAAACCGTATGTACACGTTCGGGCTGCAAAGCCTCGATCCCCAGTCAACACCCAATTCTCAATAACTAAAATTTCCCAATTATGTAACTGAAAGTACTAATACGGCGAGAGGAAAGGGCTTCAGCCTGGCGAGAGCAAGGACATGGGATTGCCAAAGATGACCCAAGTCGGAGGCTGGAGCTGCACCTCGTGCGTTCGGAAAAGCTGGGCGCTATATCTGGGCCTGAGGACAAGAGGGATCCCATCCCCAACACATGCCTGGGCGCGGCCTGGACCTAGAAATCTTAGGATGGAGGGTGCGTCTCCTACGCCTTGACACTACAGTGTGGCCCCAACTTGGCAGATGAAGAGACTGAAGTGGCTCCTGTCGGGACAGGGCAACTGAAAAGCAGTCCAGCGGCTTCTGGCTACTAGCACTTTCCCTGGGAATAAAAGCAAGTGTCGGCGCGCACCAACCCCTAGCCCGACCGCCCACCCAGCGCCTGCCCACTAGATGCTAGAGCGCGAAGCGAATCAGACGTGGGGTGGGGGGAGGGAGTACACCGCTCCGCTGGCCCCGCCTCCCATAGGCATGGAATGTTAAATATTTGTTGACGGGGCGGGGCGAAACCGCGAAGTAAGGCCCCTCCCCCTCCCGTCCTGGAGTGCGCCTGCGTCTGGAGGCGTCCCGCCTTCCTCTAGGCCACGCCCTCAGACAGCTCAAATGTTGGGACAGGATGGGGAGAAGTAAATGATTAATAAATAAATCGCGCTGAAAAATTAGCTTCCTCCCCACCGACGCTCCCCGGGATCCTTAAACTCCAGGGGCGTACATTGCCCCTTCCCTGACTTGCTTTTTTTTTTTGCTGTGCTGGGGTTTGAACTCACAACTTGAGCCACTTTACCAACCCTTTTTTGTGATGGGTTTTTCTACATAGGATCTTGCAAACTATTGACCCTGGTTGGCTTCGAACCACTGACCTCTGCCTCCTAAGTAACTAGGATTATAGGCGTGAACCACCGGCGCCTGGCTCCCTGACTTCTTTCTAAACTCCACTTTGTAAGGGACAGAGTTCTGGTGTCCCCACGGGGCTATCCTAGTGCTACTTGTCTGTGTCTAGCCCTTTCTGGTTCCCCATCCCTTCAACCTCCATACTCGGTGCTAATCCTTTTCCTCTTCTGTCAGTGCTGGAAAGCCTCACTCTTCAAATGATCCCTTGGTTGTGGAATCCCTGGCTGCCACTGGAGAGGCACTCATACGTGTCCAGGTTCTTGATAGGTAGCGAACCTGGTAGTTGGAAGCATAGGGCGATCCCCTTCAGTTCCACATGGTCCATCCATTCTTCCCCATCGCAATACTATTTCCGACACTGGGACTCTTGAGAAAACAAAGTAGGTGGGCGTGATATCTCACTGCTGCTATCCCAGCACTCAGGATTCCGAGGGCAGGAGGATCGTGAAATCGAGGCCAACCTGGGCTAGTGAGACCCTGTCTAAAAAAATTTTTCTTTTCATTCAAATGACGTAGGTGCCCCTGTTTTGCAGAGCTCCTTTACACATTTCTGGATGGATCGTTCCACATCACACTATTTTTACTAAGCAACTTGCACTCCATTCCGGTTCGTGCTTGCAAGGCAGGCATTCTACCATTTGAGTCATGCCTCCACCTCCTCTTCCCCCACCCTTGCTGCTTTAAAAATTTCACCCATTTGCCAGGTGCTAGTGGCTCACACCTGCAATCCTTGCTACTTGGGAGGCTAAGATCCTGAGGATCATGGGTTGAGGCCAGCCAGGGCAAATAATTCAAGAGATCCCATCTCCAAAATAACCAGAGCAAAATGGACTAGAGGTCTGGCTCAAACTGTAGAGCACCTGCTTTGCATGCATGAAGCCCTGAATTCAAATCCCAGTCTTTCACACACAAAAAAAGTCCACTAATTTTTAGCACAATATATTAATTGTTTATCTCTCCTCCTCCTTCCCCTCTCAACATCTGATCATCAAGGACAGAGACTCTTCCCTAATGCCTATCATGGGGCCTGACAAGGCCTGACAATCATGAATGAAGTGCCCTAGTGCTTGCTGCAGGATTGCTTTGTGTCATTGCAGTAATGGTAAGCTTCCTTAGGACCACAGGACCTTTGCAGTAGGGTGTTATCTGTGGCTTTTCTTCTTCCAACCTTCCCTGGCTTTTCCTCCTGGTTTTCACCTCTCAGGATGCCTCCCTCTGTAGCAGAGGTCTCCTATGCAGTTTTAGATTTCTGTACTGATAAATGTCCTCCACCCTCAACCCCATCCTTGCTCCTCTCCTTTCTAGGGCTCATGAATAATGAGTGAATGGGAGCTGGGTAGCTGATAGGGGTAAGCAAGTCCTATTCCAAACCTCACTCCAGGAAGAAGGGACCAGTTCCCAGAGACCACATACTAGGCCATTGGAGACCTATTTGGACTGAGCCTTAAAGGTGGCTGCCTCTTCCAAAGATAAAAGGGTGGAGGCCCTCGTGCAACCTCCTGGGCCAATAAAAATAGTGAAAAAGCGCCCTCCACCCTCCCTTTCTGACCAAAAAACATCCCGCAATGGAACAAGATTTGATGTTGGGGGCCACTGTGAGGATCCCAGACCTCTCTGCGTTAAGTAACCCAGTAGCTCCCAGCTTACCCCACTGCTATGGGTCCTGATCTCCAGGGTCACCAGAGTACCTAGTGTGCTGGACACCCCAGGATTCCCATCTCTGCACCTTTGCAGAATTGCTGCGGAATACCCGCCAGAGGGCGTGCTGACTCTGTGGCCACAACCTCATAGTGAGGAAGTAGAGGGAGCAAGAAGCCTGCACCTACAAGCGGGCAACCCACAGGGGCAGAGGTGAAATATGAATACCCTGGACGCTGCCCCTTGAGCTATTCCTTCCCTCTGGCTTTAGAATTTTCATGTGGCTTCTAGTGTTTTATTTTGCTTTTCCATGCTGGGTATTGAACCCAGGTGTTTGGGGTTTTTTGTTTGTTTGTTTTTGTTTTTGCAGTACTGGGGGCTTGAACTCAGGGCCTATACCTTGAACCATTCCACCAGCCCATTTTTGTTTTGGGCTTTTTCGAGACAGGGTCTCACGAACTATTTGCCTGGGGCTGGCTTTGAACCACGATCCTCCTGATCTCAGCTTCCTGATTAACTAGGATTACAGGCATGAGCCACCTGCGCCCAGCTGAACCCAGGGTCTTGAGCATAATAGGCAAGTGCTCTACTACTTGAGCTATGTCCTCAGTCCTTTTTTAAAAATTTAGTATTTAATTTATTTATGGGGACACCGTCTCTCCGTACCTTTCTACAGGCTGCCTCGAACTCCCCATCCTCATGTGTCTGCCTCCTGAGTAACTGTAATTACAGACATGCACTACCAACTCCAATTTAAAACTTGGTTTTTGGCCTCCTGGTGTTTACCACGGGCTGTGTTCTTACACTGACAGTTTAGAAAAAGGAGGGAAAGTAAATCTACCCCATATACATGTTGGACCAGACTATGTTCCTGGCCTGCATTGTGAATGGGGAGACATGGTGGGAGAAAAAAGTAATAAAAATAAAACTTAGTTTTCAATCTCTGTTCCACTCTTACCCACTCTGCCCCACCCTGTACTCTGGATTCCTAGTTGTGATTCTTTTTGTGTTTGTGTGGTGGTAGCACTGGGGTTTTGAACGCAGGGCCTCATGCTTGCTAGGCAGGCGCTCTACCACCTGAACCACTCTTGTGCGTCCTGTTTCATGTTGAGTATTTTGTTTTTGTGTTTTGCGGTGCTGGGGTTTGAACTCAGGGCCTTTACCTTGATCCACTCCATCAGTCCTTTTTTGTGAAGGGTTTTTTCAAGAGAGGCTCTCATGAACAATTTCCCCTGGGTTGGCTTTGAACTGCTATCCTCCTGTGTTGCGTATTTTTGTATTTGCCCAGGCTGGCTTCAAACCCTGATCTTCCTGATCTGCCACCTGATAGGTAGGATTACAGGCGTGAGCGACCTGCACCCAGCTTCATTGTTGTAATTCTTTAGAACTCTGGGTTGTTGGAACACTATCCTCCCTTTGTTTTCCTAGAGAGCGACCTATCTTTCAAGGCTGATCTCTAATAATTCTTTCTTCAGGCAGCCAGCCTTCCTTGATAGGCAAGTCAGATGAGATGCTCTGTTCTGGGCTCCTTGCCTCCAGAGTCCTGATTAGATTAGACTCAGAGGACTCCAAAAAGACTCTGGCAGCAGGGGAACTTTAGGGAGAATTAACTGGTCTCCAAATGGGCCCAATTTTAGCTACCAAGTGGGCTTAGAAACCCTGTTTTTGGTTTGGCTGCCTTAAGCCCAGACACCCACCAGGAGCATAGCCCAATGAATATGTCATTGAAGAAAGGAAAGGGATGAAGGATTCCATGGTAAGAAAGGAGGGAAATCCTCAATTCAACTTCTCAATTTCCACACAAATCACAAGAACTAAAATCCAAGACAGAAAGCATTTTGAGGGATTTCACAAAAAAAAGAAAATTCACAAAGTGGAAGATTAGCAAAGATTTAGTAGAGTAGGAATAAATAGAAAAGGAGAAAGGAGCATCCCCTATTAGCAGGGGGAGGGAACAGAGAGGCTCAAAATAGT